CTCCAGTGGTTAGTAAGCCTTCCTGATATACTAATTTCAGTGCATCTTCATCATTGTTCTTCAGATATTCTTCCAAAGCCATTTTTTCTTCTTCACCCATCTGATGTACTTGTAGCATTCCACGCCCACCTATTTGCCTTGGTAGATAAAGTCTATCAATGTCACTGCGTGGAGGAAGGGCATGATTCATTGTCATTATTTTTCTGGTCTGCCTATCCATTGCTTTTAGTTCTGCTTGAGTCCAGTCCACTATTCCAGCTGTGTACCTAATGACTGGGATTGCCCAGGTGTTGATTGCCTTTATGGTATTTCCTCCATTGAGTTTGGATTTTAAGATCTTCTTCACTCTCTTGATGTATTCACCGCTAATCTTTTTCTTGACTTCAGTGTGCTTGATGTTGTCAGCTTGAAGGATACCCAAGTATTTGTAGTACTCTTCCTCATCCAGACTCTTAATGTTATTTTCGTGGGGCATCTTGATTCCTTCAGTTTTCACTATTTTTCCTTGTTTGATAGTAAGTGTGCCACATTGGTCCAAGCCAAACTCCATTACAATATCTTGGCTATATATACGGACAGTGTTGAGCAGCGATTCTATTTCAGATGATGCCTTTTTGTAGTCAATCCATGCCACATTCAGGTTGGCCTTCCTTCTCTTGCAGTTTTCCAAGATCATTTTGTCTATTAGGAGTTGATCTTTTGTTCCTCTGCTATTGGGGCGGTTTCCTTTCTGCTCAGGTAGAAAGAAATTGTTTTCAACTAGATGCTGTTGTACTGCATCAGCTACCACACCAGTTAGTAATTTGAAAGTTGTTGGTAAACAGGTAATTGGCCTGTAGTTGCCTGGTGTTGCCCCTTTTGCTGGATTTTTTATTATTAGGTAGGTTTTCCCAGTTGTTAGCCAATTTCAATTTCTCCTCCTTGTAGTATATTGTTGAACTGTTTGGCAATGAGTGGGTGTATAACAGTTAGATGTTTCAACCAAAACCCATGCAGTTCATCTTCACCTGGTGCTGACCAATTTTTGATTTTCTTTGCTCTTTTTTCTACCCTTTTTGTTGTTATTACTAGTTCTTTCATTTCAACTTCTGTTTTGTTTGCATCCACCTCTTTTAACCAAGCCGCATCCTTGTTGTATTTCTTTGGGTTATCCCATATCTGCTTCCAGAACTGCACTGTTTCTTCCTTGTCAGGTACTGACTGATTCCTTGCCGTTTCTCCATTGATGGATTGGTAGAAACGTTTCTGATTGGATTGAAATTGGAGGTTCTGCCTATAGTTTGCAATTCGAGCTTCATATCTACTGATTTTCCTGGCTATAGCGGTTATTTGTTGCTTTATTATTTCCAGTGCTTCCTTGATCTTCCTTGGTTCTAAGTGGTATTTCTTGATTAGGTATTCTTTGGTCTTCTTGTTCTTCAGCTTCTTTTCTTTCATCTGTTCTAGCTTGCTTGCATGTGATCTTAACTTGCTGATCTTATTTTCTAGTCTAACCTTCCATTTTTTGGTGCACTGTTTGTTTGTTTTTCTTTTTTGTTGATTTTACATCCCAGGTATTCTGTTATAACTGCAGCTGTGCTGTACATTAGTTGATTTGTTTCTTGCAGTGAATTGGTGCTTATACTTGATATTGCAGTATTTGCATCTTTTAATGCTTGTGCTAGCTGTTTATTTGGAACAAGCTTCAATGCAGGTAGCCTTATTCTGTTGTTTTTGTGCTGTTCTAGATGCTCAGTTATTCTTTGTTTCAATTCTTTTATTTCTTTAGTTAGAGGGTTTTGTTCTTCCTGAGGTAGAGGTGCCTGGTTTCCAAATGAGAACAGTTGTATATCTCTGCTAGATTCCTTCACTGCCAACTATTATGATGATGATGATGATGATGATGATGATGATGATGATGATGATGATGATGATGCTTGCTCTGGTAATCTGGCAGCAAAGGATATTATGCACAAAATCAACAGACACCTAAATACAAAAAAAGAAAAAGAAAAAATAAGAGAAGGAAATGTCTATACAATTAAATACAAAATAAAATGCATGCATTTTTAAAATATATAAAGCTAGCAGCAATGAAATAAAATATCAAAGTTTGTGGTGCAGATAGCTTTAAACATTCTGATGGAGAAATAAAAAATAATAGTCTGCTATATATTATCCTATAATAATTGCTGTAATAATATACATAAAATACTTTAGCACTCAAAAATGTTTCAATAAATCTTTCATGAAGCATTACTTTAGACTTACAATTCTCTGAATTCCTATTGTAGTTTTAGGTCAATAAATAATATAAAATGCAAATGAATTGCACAAAAAATATTATTGCCATTATAAAAATCAAGTTTCAGGCTAAAGTACCAAACTTATATTGGGAAAGAGTAATTGAATATAGAATAATACTGCATGTCATACTGATTTAATATAAAGGGAATACTGATCTGAGACATTCCTGAGTCCTATTGCAATGCTATTGGCAATGGATTCGACTCTCTTTTATCTATTTTTTCTGTCATCTTTGATCTATGATTCCCAATGATGAATTTAAATGCTCAGATTATACCATGAAACATTGTCATAAAATTTGCCTTGAGCTCATCATTATGATCGTATAATATAAATAACAAATAAACTTCTCAGAAGTTTATGAACAGTAAAAAAAAAATGGCAAAAATTTCACAACTGACAACTTGGCAGAGGAGAAGAACCCTGGTCATATTAGAAAAGGTTTCTAGTTTTTAAAAGACAAAATAATTGACTTTAATATTGAGATATTTTAGGACTGGCCAGACTTAGCATCCCACATGGTACAGATGATGGTGATGTATTTAAGATCTCACTGACATTCTATAATACAGTTAGGTAGATGCCAGTGTTTGGACCCTGGATGCATGCAAGTGGTTTTCTACTTCTTTGCAAGGCTGAACATCATGTTAGCAATGCACAGATAGAGCTCGACACATTTGCTTGTAAGCAGCAAGTCATTATTTAGTTTATCTAATCTATGTCACTGTCTGTCCCCACTCCAAAAAAAGAAACAGGAAAAATGGACACTTTGAGGCATGTTATTTGGAACACAGTATATCTTAGAATGCCAAAAACAAATGAAGCCCAGTGTTTAAAAAACAAAACAAAAATAAGAACACTTAGTCAAAGCAGTAAATGAGTTACTTCATAAGACTGGAGAGTTCTCCAGTACAGGAGATGGAGAATCCACCAATGGTTTTCACTGTCTGCCTGCTCTTGAGACCAAGTAGCCAAACTCGTCACACACCCTCTTGCTAGGAGATCCAGTCTTGACTTGGTCTCAAGGTCTTGAAGACATATCAAGGCTGGCTCTCAGGTTTAGAGATCTTCAATTCATTAGCAGGTCAGATACCATTGTTGGATTCTCCTTGCCTTTAAAATTTATATTCCCTAATTAGTGATTCTCTCTCAAAAGCAGGTTAATTTCCCCCAAAATTTTCCCTAAGACACTGGACTCAGCGCAGCCTCTAATTGGCTGATTCGAGGCTCCTGGGTGTGTGTGGGGGGAAACACTTCTCCACTCTTTTCCCAGGACTCTGGGGAGGGGGAGGAAAAATTTTTTTCCAATTCCCCGTGGGCTTTTCTGCAACGCTCAGCTGTGCAGCCACTATCAGCCCCAGAGTTTTTTCCCCTTCAGAGGCCGTTTTTAAACAGCTAAAAGTCATGGCCGCCATTTTGGATGACCCAGGAGCTCAAAAACCGAACAGAGGTTTTTTTCCCTCACTTGGCAAGCAGCTTCTGAAAAATTTTAATTAGAGCCCTGTTTTCTCTGCACAGCACATTGCTGTGCAGAGGTTTCCTTCCCTTTGCAATCAGTTTCTGAAGCAAAACTACTAGGGTCCTGCCTTTCGAGACAGGGGTCTTCACAGCAGTCCCCTAATCGATCTCAGGAAGCCTTAAAAGAATTTGCCGCGGCCACCATTTTGGGCGCGCTACGTGGTCGGCCTTGCATTGCCATCAGCCAAATAATTAACCGAAGGCCTCAGCACTTTACAGGCCATTTCCAACAGACCTTCTGACCATTAATTTCAGCATAGCTGAGAAACCATTCTAGCCCTACACAGCGACTACCATTAGGCCTTATCAACTGTAACATTATTTACAGCCGGTAATTAACTAACTAGGCCCAATTCTCAGGCCACCACCTTGTTTTGGAATCGCCATTTTGAATTCACATTGCCTCTGGCAGGCCTCATCTCAGGCCTCTGCGCCCTTCATTGGGGCCTTTTTTTGCTGGTGCACCTTGCCTGGCCATCTAAGGCCTCCGGGCGAGACCCAGAGAGTGGTCCCAAATGTGCCTTCGGCATCTGACTCAATTGCCATGACCGAAGCCCAGAGAGAATTTTTTTGCTGGTCAGGTGGTCAGGGGAACAGTCTTGTTACTTGTTCCAATTTGCTCCCGCCAATGGCTTGTCTGCCAGAGCTTCAATCTCAGATTCCCTGAGACTGCTCAACTTGGATGGAGGACTCCATGTTGCCTCACCCAGTGGGCACTGTCCCTCTGTCCAGTTACAGCTGCCACAAATCCTCTGAACAGGAGGCGGCAGGCAAGCCCAAATCTAAGGCCAATACGGTGTTCAAGAAGCCTTCCAAGATGGTGGAAAAGCAAGTCAGCCGTAGGCACCAGGCTCTGGAGAAGGAGTTCTCCAGAGAGCAGAGACAAACCGGATTGGAAGAAGGATTTATTGGTGGCCTCAGAATTTGACCTTCCTTTAGATCTTTCAACATCATCCCAGGGTGTGTGGTCCCTCACAGGAACACCCTCGACACTTAGTCCTCCACCTGAAATCACACCTTCACAACAACGGCCGCAGGCCTCAGGGGAGCAGACATCGGAGACATTTTCTCCGATGGCCACCTTGAGGCCTTGCCAATCCAGGGTTGTAGATCGCATACTAAGAGAACAGTCTTTCTTTCTATCTGGGCAGGGGTCTTCTTCGTTTGGCATGCCACCTTATGTCCCTCCTATGCAGTTCCCTATGCTTCAGGAACCCACTTTTCCTGCACACTCCTCCATGAGCGGATCCTCACCCTCGCAGAGTGAGGAACAGCCAGAAATTAATCTATCAGAGGAGGAGGAACCTCCCCCCCGAACTCCCCCCTTCGGGAGGCTTGTTCATTCCATGTTCCTCTATTTTTCTTAAAGAAATAAAAAAAGTGGGCCTCCCCTTCCTTCCTTCCTTCAGTAAGCGAGACTGATAAATGGGTTTTTAGTACTTCCTCAGATCTCACTGGGAAGGCGGTCACTAGGGACATGGCGGAGGCACCTAAAGCGGATGACAGAAAATGGGACCTCGCTTTTCAGAAGACCCATCAATCAGCAGCATGGGCAATTAAAACGGCCACTTGTGCGTCCTTTTTGTGCGGACCACCCTACTTTGGCTTTGTCAGCTTCAGGCCAGAATCCCTGCTGAGGACAATCGGACTCAGCAGGAACTGATGCTGCAGACACGACTTTTCAGTCGGCCACCTTTGCATCTAGGTCCCTTGCAGACAACATCACAGACAGAAGGACACTGGCTGCAACACTGGCAGGCTGACACCAAAACAATGGCATCTGTCGACTGCTTCATATCTGGACTATAGTCCTTTTGGGGAGACCCTGGTCCTTGTACACCCAGGCAGGACAGGCCATATGTCCGTCCATATGACAGACTGGTTTTTCAGCATCGGTAACAGAACCAATCTATGGGGCCATTTCAAGGGGCAGGTTGCCCCTATAAGGGGTCCAAGAGACTGTTACACTGCATTTCCCATCGGGTGAAGGCTTGCCCACTTCTTCCATCAGTGGGAACTCACATCCAGGGATGCCTGAGTCCTACAAACCATCTGGTTTGGTCTGTCCCTGGGGTTCCTAGCCAGCACTCCGGACCGCTTCATCTCTTATCCCATTTCCTGGAATCCACTTACACAGAGACTCATGCAGGAAGCCATTCAGCATCTTCTAGAGGGTCAGGCCATAAAGCCGGTACCTCCGAATCACATGGGAAGGGGATGCTACTCCATCCTTTTTGTGATTCCCCATCCTTAGGAGGATGGAGAGCAATTCTGGACCTCAGGGTCTGATTCATTACATCACATGCACGATGCAATCACTCCAGTCCATCCTGGACGGCATCAGTCAGGGAGACTCCCTGGTGTCAATAGATTCCACGGAGGTGTATCTCCACTTCCCCATCCCTCCAGCTCACCGGCAGTTCCTCAGGTTCTCTTACAGGAACAGGCACATCCAGTACAAGGCCCGTTGGTATGGCCTCTCCTTGGCTCCCAGGATATTCATCAAGATCCCAACTGTACTGGCTGCCCACATACGGAAGGTACTGGTATATGTCCAGTGTTGACTGGACCAAATCTTGACCCAAGGGTCATCTTTCCGGGTAGCTCAGTCGGACCTGCTACTAACTATTCAGGTCCTCCAACAGTGAGGGTTCTCGGTCAATTTCCAGAAAAGCCAGACAGTTCTCTCATCCAGTTTTCTGCACCGGGGAGCCATAATAGACACACGAACTGCAGGGTCTATCCCCCCCCCAGGTGCGGTTGGTCAGCATCAGGGTTCTGGCTTGCCAGGTGTACAAGGACTGCACCATTTCACCGGTCTGGATCTCCCAGCTTCTGGGAAGATGATCTCTGGCATAGCCATAGTTCCCTGGGCCGGACTCAACTTGCGGGATCCTTTATGGTTCCTCCGGTTGTTCCAACGAGTGAATGCCAGCGCATCCGACTGCCAGGTCAGGCTCCTGATCCTCACCCTCAGATATCTATGAGGGTGGCTCTCACAAGTGGTGTTCAAAGGGTCACCTTTTAAGGAGCCAGACCACGCCACCATCAAGACGGTCGCACATCCATTCAGTTGAGGTGCCCTTCTACGGTCTCAGTTTGCACTGGGCCATTGGTTCCACACAGACTTGAGACACAACAGCAATTGACTGGAGCTCAAGGCCATCAATTCAGATCTTTGCCTTTTGTGGCTCTAGATCAGGGACCGTCAGATACGGGTCTTCATGGTCAAAGTGGCGCCCAAGGTCCACATGAACCGGCAGGGTGACACCAAGTCCAAGTTCTTTATGTCCAAGACATGGCTACTGGGGCCCTGGACAGAGCCCAACCTGTCTGGAATTTTGTCTCCAGTGCATAAGCTCTCAGTGTACATATAAGTAACAAGTGATAAATCATGATTATAATCATAAAAACATTCATCATAAATCATAAGATACAACAGTGATGGTCATGAATACTAAATAAGCAATCAACAGAGATCATAGGATTCTAAATAAAACAATTAATATAAATTGTAAGATACAAACAACAAAATAGGGAGATAGGAAATAGGAAAGATGAGAAGAATAGTAATACAGCCTTACTAGGTAGTTTGACAGTGTTGTGGGAATTAGTTATTTAGCAGAGTGATGGCATGGGGGAGGGAACAGTTCTTGTGTCTAGTTATGTCATCTTGAGGGAAGAAGTTGAAACAGTTTATGTCCAGGATGTGGAAGTTCTATAGATATTTTCACAGCCCTCTTTCTGGCTTGTGCAGTATATAGATCCTCAATGGAAGGCAGGCTGGTAGCAGTTGTTTTTTCTGCAATTCTAACTATCGGTTGAAGTCTGTGTCTGTCTTATAATCACATTACTTTAATGTGTAAGAAGATTTCATACTATTAAAATCTTATTTCTATATTTTAACAGTAAATTAAAGCAAACTAGATGCAACTGAACAGTGATAACACTCACATTCAAACTTTCTATGCTTGAAGATTCCTAACAGGCAACTCTGCTCTTTTAGGAAAGGATATAGGGGTGATCTGGATAATATTGCAGATTTTCATGTGGATAAAGTGGTTGTTTCATTTTTTATGTGGATTGGGCATGCCAATTGTGGTGAACAGAATAGTGTCTTGTAATGCTGTCTTTAGAACTTGTGTAAATAGATAGGGTTCCCTATCAAGAACTGATCCACGCTTTCCTTCCTTCTTCAGATGGCATATTGTGTGTGGCTAAGAGATAGTAAATGCTTCTTTAAGGGAGGACAATTAGTGGAACTGTACAATGTTGGTCAAATCTGGTTCTAGGTTCTGCCTCAGTTTATCTTTTCCAATAAGTAACCAAGCAGAAGATCATTTAAAACCAATTTGTTAGATAAAGTGGGGTCTCCCTATGAAAAGGGGGAACCAGGGAAAATGAAATACAATTACTTTTATAGGCAGCACATCTAAGAACTTCAAAGCAAAAGTTGATTAGTTTAGAAATAGTCATCTGTTCAGTTACATTTCAAGGATTAAGTCATCTCATAATATGTGAGTATAGCCATAGAAAAGAGCATTATATTCTGAGTAAAAGAAACATTTGCAAAGGAAAAACATCAAAATAGGCATGGGTAAGATACATTCTCAGTACTTCTCAAGGCTGAGCTGGACTGTTTTCTTTGTTCATGGAGACTTGAGAACAGCCAAAAATGAAGCTGTTATCTACAATGTATTGAATGCTTTCCTGCCAGTCCTGGTTTCTGAAAGAGAGGCATTTTTGAAGGTTAAGGCTTATGGGAAATTATTAGCAATACAGTTGAAAAAGCAAATTTAAAATACAAGAAAGCTCATGTTAGTTAGCCAGTGCAACAGTACTACAAAACCCATGTTTTGAGTATTACATCCTATGTGGCCCTCAAGAGACACACCCATTTTGAGGTTGCTGTCTTGATTGCTAGGTCTAATTCAAGGTGTTGGTTATCAACTCTGAGGCTCAATGAGACATAACACTGGTGATGTGAGAGCCTATATGGTCTGAACATACAGGAAGGGCCAGCTGATGGTTACTACATTGGGATGTACTTCCCCTGGAATACACTTAGTCCTGATCAAGTTCTAACAATCATCCTATTTAATAACTAAATAACTAAAGCCATTTTTATCACCTGAATTAATTGTTATATGGATATTGCGTTCAGTAGATTATTATTCAAAATCTATACTGTAAATTCCATTAAAATAAACCTAATTGCAAGTAGAGATCTTTTTTTAAAAAAAATAATAAAATTAGCAGAATCTGTATTAAATTATATTTCTCTAACCTTCTCTCATCAGCTGCCACAGATGTATCTTTCTCATTTAATGTTGGAAATGGCCCAGTAGAAATTATTATCAAGTCACCCCATCCACTCACTGACGATCAGTGGCATCAAGTGATTGCAGAGCGCAATGTCAAAGAAGCCAGCCTGCAAGTAGATCAGTTCCCCAGAGAGATCCAGAAGGCTCCCACTGAAGGCCACACTCGACTAGAACTCTATAGCCAGCTGTATGTTGGTAAGCAGAAACTATATGTTGAACTGAAAATGCAGCGTCTTTCCTGTATACTTGTGGTCACTTCAGATCCTGTTCATACTGTATATGCTTCATATTTGTTTGTTTGTTTGTTTGCTTGCTTGCTAGCTTGCTTGCTTACTTACATTTACTTACTTACTTATTTACTTACTTACTTATTTAAAATATCTGTATATCATCCAATACTCATCAAATAATCCTCAACGGCACTATATCAACATGGAGAGAAGTAAGCAGTGGGGTACCACAAGGCTCCATCTTAGGCCCAGTACTCTTCAAATCTACATAAATGACTTAGATGAGGGAATAGAAGGGGAACTCATCAAATTTACAGGTGACACCAAACTTGCAGGAATAGCCAACACCCCATAAGACAAGTTCTGGATCCAAAATGATCTTGACAAATTTGAACAATGGGCCCTATCCAACAAATGAGTTTCAAAGTGGAGAAAAGCAAAGTTTTACACTTAGGCAGGAAAAACCAAAGGAACAAAAACAGATTGGGTGAGACCTGGCTTGGAGGCAGTAACTATGAGAGGGACTTTGGAGTCTTGGTGGATGATCATTTAACGATGAGCCAGCAGTGTGCAGCAGCAACCAAAAAAGCTAATACAATCCTGGGTTGCATAAACAGAGGCATAGAATCAAGATCGCGCAAAGTATTAGTACCACTTTATAAAGTCCTAGTAAGAACACACCTCGAATACTGCAGCCAGTTTTGGTAACCATGTCACAAAAAAGATGTTGAGAATCTGGAAAAAATTCAGAGAAAAGCAACTAAGATGATCAAAGGCCTGAAGACCAAAACATATGAAGAACAGCTGCGGAACTTGGGTTTGGCCAGTCTAAAAAGAAGAAGAAATAGGGGAGACATGATAGCAGTGTTCCAATATCTGAGGGGCTGCCACAAAGAAAAGAGGGCCAGGTTGTTCACCAGAGCACCAGAGGAAGGACGAGAAACAATGGTTGGAAGCTAATCAAAGAGAGAAGCAACCTGGAATTAAGGAGAAACTTCCTGACAGTGAGGACAGTCAACCAGTGGAACAGCTTACCCCCAAAAATCATGGGTGCTCCATAGCTGGAAGTTTTTAAAAAGAGACTGGACAATCACCTTTCTGAGATGGTATAGTCCTGCTGGTGCAGCGGGCTGGACTAGAAGACCTCCAAGGCCCCTTCCAGCTCTATTCTGTTCTATTCAAGAAACAGGGGCGACATGATAGCAGTATTCCAGTATTTGAGGGGCTGCCACAAGGAAGAGGGCAACTATTCTCCAATGCACTAGGGAGCAAGACAAGAAGCAATGGTTGTAAAGTGACCAAAGAGAGAAGCAACCTGGAATTAAACTTCCTAACAGTAAGAACAATTAACCAGTGGAACAACTTGCCTCCAGAAGTCATGGGCACTCAATCCCTGGAGATTTTTAAGAAGACACTAGGCAGTCACTTACCTGAAATAGTATAGATCTGTGGTGGCGAACCTATGGCATGTGTGCCACATGTGGCACGCAGAGCCCTCTCTGTGGGCACACGCACCATCGCCCCAGTCCTAGGCCTTCAGCTGGGTTTTATAAAACCTTTTCACTTTAGGCCTTTGCCGCTGTGTGTAAAAAAAAAAGAGGTTCAATCAATCAATTTCAACTTCTCGCGAGGAAAAAAAAGATCTTGCAAAGTTGGAATTGATTGAACTTTTTAGTCCCATCCAGTCTGCCGTTACCACCACAGCCACGCCCATCCAATTGGTCATGCCCACCCAATGGGCCACATCCACCCGGCACCCGATGATACATAAGTGGGTACAGGGTTGCCGTTTGGGCACTCAGTCTCTAAAAGGTCACTGGTATAGGTTCTCCTGCTTGAGCAGGGGGCTAGACTAGAAGACCTCCAAGGTCCCTTCCAGCTCTATTCTCTATTCTATTCTATTCAATAATTCTACAACTTCCCAATCTGTTCAAAATAGAACACTAATCCTGACTTCAGGTTTCCTAGACAGAACATTTAATAAACAAAACACAATAGATGAAAATATTATTTTTGCTCCATTCCCATCAGACAAAACAATATTCAGACAAGTTTGCCACTGCAATCTTAGTATTTAAGCTGGCTCATGCAACAGAAGTTTCCTTCAAAATACATTTGGAGTTTTGAATACAGGTACTAGTATTTTGGTTTTTTTACTAGAGAAATGTTGTGCAATTTAAGAAATGTAAAAGATCTAAAAACCAGTTCCAATTGGCAACTTGCCCTGTTATTATGCACTGTATAAATCTAATCCAGATGCCACCAAATAGCAGTATTCAAATGTATCTGTCTCATGTCAGCCAAAACAAAGTACTTTATGTATGGCTGTCATTTAGTTGTTTAGTTACAATATATATCAGTAAGCACCTTCAAACCACAAATCTAATTTAAGATATGATTAGATAATCTTTTGGTGATCAGGGACTTCACTTAATATTTTTACTGCTTCAGAATCTACAATACATAATGGTGCAATTTGGAGATAATCATATCATGTGCAAGGATGGGCCTGGGATTTGGGGCTATTTTCCCCTACTTTAAAGGCAAGAGTTGGATTTTTTTGTTCTTAAACAGCATAAAAACAGCTATCATATGGCTTTATAGTTTAATTCACATTTTATATGATTCCTGCCACTGACACACCTCTGATTTCCAGCAAATGTTCACTGATAGTACTAATTAGGAAACTAATTTAGCTTAAAATAACACTGAAGCAACTCATTGAAGAAGAACCAGATGCTTACAAAAATTGAAAGAAACTAAGAAAGACTCAAGCCCCCGCTTCAACCTCGGTGAGTCCAGCCCCCACAAAATCTATTACTACATTTTTACAACAGGAAACTCAACAAAAGGACACTCAAGCCATACTTCAAGCAATTGCAGATTCTAAAATGGAAATGAAAAAGATTTGGAAAAAAATTATGAAGATTTGAAAAATGATCTCCTTAAAATGGATCAAAAAATGGAAACCTTTCAACAGGCGATGGCAAATACCCAACAAAGAATGCAAAAAGTAGAAGATAAGTCAGTGGTGGTGGATCAGAAAATTGAAGCTTTGCAAGAGGAAAATCAGAGATTGGTGCAAGCTAACACGGAATTGGAAGGCAGCATGGCTGTTATGGAGATGGAGAGCGCATCACACTTTTTAAGTTTCAAAATATTATAGAACAGTGGTTCTCAACCTTTTTAATGCCGCGACCCCCAACCGGTCGTAAGTCGAGGACTATTCAACCGGTCGTAAGTCGAGGACTACTCAACTGGTGCAGCACCGTTTGCAGAATGGGACTTTTGGTGGGCTCAGCAGGGCAGAGACAGCCTGGACAATTCCTATTGGCTTTTGAAAGACAATAGAATTAGACTCTATTCAAGAGAGTCTATTCTATTGGCTTTCAAAAGCCAATAGAATAAAAGGGAGTAGCACAGCTAAGGAAAAGGGGGAAAAATGGTGGACTGCACTGTTTGGCAACCCCCGTGAAATAGTTGTTCGACCTCAAATGGGGTCCCGACCGACAGGTTGAGAACCACTGTTATAGGATGAGAACCTGTTAGAGCTGATGAGTGAGTTATTAGCGGAATTGCTTGGAATGGAAATTGACCAAATGAAACAAGAAATAGATCAGGTTTTTAGAATTAATTCAAGCTATGCAAGAAGAAATAGTGTTCCTACGGAAGTCTATGTAAGATTTCTTAAAAGATTTATACGTAATGAGACCTTGAGAGCAATAAGAGACCAACCACTGAAATACAAAGATAAAGAACTTGTAGTTTTAAACAGATTCCCAGAAGAATAAGAAAAGCTCGAAGAGAATATCAATTTTTAACGAGGAAACTGTTTAACAAGGGAGTGAATTTTAGATGGCTGGTCCCAGAAGGCTTATTAATTTTTTGGGACTCGAAAAGATATAGATTGGATACTCCAATTCAAGCAGAGGAATTTTATAACAGTCACAGAGCTTTTTTAGAAAAAGGTGATTTTGAATCCAAGAAACCGGAGGACCACCGAAATAAATGGAGGAGGGAAAACCAAAAAAGACTCAATCAGAGGAAGTGTCAACACTGCTAATATTGAATATTCTTGTTTTGATAAAATATGCAGAACTGTCTGGCACTTTTAGAGTTAACTCAAATGAGAATGGAGAGAGAGAGCAATTTGTGCAGGCTTCAGAAGGAAGTGAACCTTTACCCCGCCCCAGGCTGGTTGGAGAACATGACTCATGACAGCAAAAGAGGGAGGGAAAATGCTAGCAAAAATGCTCTGGGGGTGGAGACTTCAGATCTTGGCATCCATCCATGATGTGCTGACAATCTGTTATACTGTTAATAAAGGCTTTTATGATAAACAATGCCTGGAAGTTCTTTGAAGTGTTTCATTAGTGGGAAACTTGACAACATGCCAAGATCCACAAAAAATTTAAACCATTTAAGGGGCCCCGAGCCCTGGTCACTATTCCTGAATTAAAGGGATAGGCTGACAAAGATTTGGGGAAGATCTCATTATGGAAGAAGAAAGATTGCCTGAACCCAGCATCCCGGCAGCAACAGCTTCCCCGGGGGGGGGGAGCGACAGCTGGCAAGCCAGGGGAGGGAGAACTCTAGCAGATCTCCCAGCTGGAAGCAGAGATTTCAAAAGCAGAATGGTGAACAGCTAACGAATTACCTGCCACTCAACCCTTGCGTGAGTTACTGAAAAGATTTCAAAACCCAGAGGTGAAAAGCAGAAATCAATTCCTGCAGAGAAGAGCCTACAGCCCTTCCATTGCAGATTAGACAGCCTTTCAGATCCTTTCTTCCCCTGCCAGAGACTCCAGCCCTGAAGAGAGAGGGAATCCCAGTCTGAGGCTTCTGCAGCAATGGGGAGATTGGCAAACCCAGCAGGTAAATGGTCCACGACACCTGAACTTGCCACAGCTTTTAGGATAAACAATGCCTGGAAGATCTTTGAAGTGTTTCATTAGTCGGAATCTT